CTCCACATGCCTCCCTCAGGAAATAGGAGGACGCCCTTTCCGTCCCGGGGGGGGGGGGGGGGTTGTTTCCTCAAGGGGGATGCAAGGAGGGTTCATTTGAATACGCACAATTGTAAAACAGGGATTGATTTTCAGACCCCCCCCCGGCTTTTTCCTCCGTTGCCGCTGGGGTACGCTCGTCCCCCCCCCCCCCTCTGTTTCGGCGGCTGATGGGTGGGTGGGTGCCTTGGTTGGGCCCGCGTCCCTTTTTGGCGTGGCGTGTCTCGACTGGTGGTGGTCCGCAGGAACGTGCAAGCCCTAGAACCGTCGCACATGCAGTACCAGAGGCCCATCTTTCAGGTGAAGGGAGACGGGGATGATGTCGAAGATTTGAGAACGGGATGGATTGTCTGTGTGGTGCGGGATTTAGACCTCATGAACCTGGTTATCCGTGACGCCACATCCCCACATGGCGGTAAAAGGTTTTCGTCCGGCAGATGGGAATGTTCTGGGAATATTCTTGGTGACGGCATTGTTCTACCTTGAAGAGAGATGACCGCCGGCTCCGAAAATGATCCTGCGTGGGCTGCGCCTGCTGTGTTTAAGCGCGAAAAAGTCCTGCCCCCCCACCCCCCCCATATCCCGGAACCCCCGACGACGCTAATCCGGCAATGGGCGCAATGGATGCATACAGTACCGTAGTAGAAAGGACGGACGCGAGATTGGTCGGCGGATGAATGCCTCGACCCCGTCCTGGCACTGCTGTACTACCACGGCCATGTTTTCAAGTGGTATCCCCCCTCTTCCGTCGGTCCTCTCGAGGACGCGTTGTTGGAAGTCAAACGGCGTAGTATCTGCTAAGTCTGTGTAGTCAAGAACAGTTCCCTGGTGGTTTGCTTGTGCTAGATTGATTGCTCCTAGTGTCCTTTTCAGCGAACGTCAGATGTGCTGAAAAGTGGTCCTCAATAAAAACAAGATGATAGCTGAAGACGTAAGTCAGCAGTCTGTCTGTCTAAGTGACCTGTGCTACGGCGGGAGCAGCGGTGAGCAAGCAAGGTAACAGAAGCGTGTGCCACACCTTGCTGACAGGTGTGCGGAGGTGCACTGTAGACGTGAGTCTACCACCAAATGAGGTATTTGGTTCAAAGAGAAGTAAATGAGAAAAAGGTGTTGTAGATTTTTTTTTTATTGTTGAGCTGGGCAGGAAACAGAGTGAGCTCCGGTGGGGGGCGTGCGCTCTGCCTGGTCAGCCTTTTTGTCGATCACCGACGAAACTACGAAGAACCTTAGTACCGGTCCGGAAACGTTCCGGAAACGTTCCGGGAACCAAATACCGTTCTATAAGACCAAACGCACTGTTGCGGAAACGTTCCGGGAACCTTTCTAATCTTACTCTGAACTTTTCCTGAGAACATTCGTGAGAACCGTTCTAGGAAAGTATTCCCGATCTAGGAAATACGAACCGTTACGGAATTTACCGCATCCACGAGCAGATCGTTCTAGATATCTTTCATGAAATATTGTTCTTCGAGTTGAAGTTACTTCCTTCACAGCTTACTATACCGCGTTTAGTGTGCCATGTCACGCATACTGAAACCGGTATGTTTTGTGCTAATGAAATCGCTCACGTGACATCGTATACTGTGTTGTATTCAAGAGAATACCTATAAAAGCAGTCTTTATCAGTTGATATTGATATTTTTAACACGTTTGTGGTCAATGCAAAACACGAGTACCCCCCCCGCCCCTTGGCACAGCACACGCAAGGATGATGATGGCCAGGTTTTGGTTCATCCTTGCTAAGCCTAGCCTGGGCCGGCGAGAACCCGGCATTTCGCCCCCGTTTAGGGATGTGAGGTCATTAGTCCAATGATTACGGCATGCGTTTACATGAGTACCCCCCCCCCCCACTTGGACGGCCCCATGGACTACGCGAAAAAGCTGAAATTGCAATTTCGAGTAGGCGATCTGGACTTGCCAGAACGGAGGAAGAGG